GAGCCATTTTAAGTCATGTGTTACCGAACGGAAATGAGGCACCTATTGCGTTTTTTTCAAGGACATTATCAAGGGCTGAAAGGAACTATAGCCAACTCGATAAAGAGGCTCTTGCTGTGGTATCGGCTGTAAAGCGTTTTCACGAATATGTGTATGGACGAACATTTACTATAATTACGGATCACAAGCCATTGCTCGGTATTATAGCAGGAGACAAGCCAACCCCCTATATATTGTCGCCAAGAATGACTCGCTGGTCAGAGTTCCTAGCTACATACAATTATCTACTGCAACATCGCCCGGGGAAAGCCATTCCCCACGCTGACGCTTTAAGCCGTTCCCCACTTCCGGAAGCCGTCGACGACGCAGCTCCAACCCTCACGAAACTCCAAATTGAAACGCTGCACTCGCCGCCGCTAACAGCGAGAGACATCGCCATCGAGACGAAACGGGATCCTGTCCTGGCACAAGTTCTTAGCTGGGTCGAACGGGGGTGGCCAGTCGACGAACCCCACAACAACTTCGCGCCGTTCAAAAACTGGCAGACTGAACTGTTTTCTCAGAAAGGCTGCATTCTATGGGGAGACAGAGTCGTTGTCCCAGAGAAGCTACGACAGTTTTAAAAGTATTGCACGAAGGGCATCCAGGCATCGTGCGCATGAAGGCGCTCGCACGAAGCTATGCGTGGTGGCCGGGCATCGATAAGCAGATCGAAGCCTGGTTAACTACCTGTCGAAAGTGCCAAGAAGTCAGCAGTACCCCACCAAGAGCAACGCCAACCGAGTGGGAAACCCCTCGGGGTCCATGGTCCCACATCCACATTGATTTTGTGGGACCCACCAAAGGTCACACTTTTCTCCTAACAGTGGATGCCTATTCCAACTGGCTCGAAATCCACAAAATGAAAACTACTACAACCGACTCTGTCATTAACAAACTAAATAAACTAATCGCAACGCATGTGTTACCAGACGTTTTAGTTTCTGATAACGGTCCCCAGTTCACTGCCCTGGCATTTGAACAGTACCTAGCGGACCGGGGTATCCGCCATGCGCTAACTTTGCCGGCGCACCCTGCGGCCAATGGAAGGGCTGAGCGAATGGTCCAATTCGTCAAAAAGACTCTACACAAGATGGAACATGGGGACATTGACGACAAGCTGAACAGAATACTTCTACTCCAACACATCACCCCACACAGCATCATGAATAAGACTCCAGCCGAACTGTTGATGGGACAGAAACTTCGATCCCACCTCGACCGCCTACACCCTCTCCTACTCGCCAGAGAAACCTTTCGGATCTAGCGGAAAGTGCCGCGAGTTCAAGGTAGGCGACTTGGTGTTTGCAAAAAACCTTTCCGGCGAACCGTTGTGGGTCCCAGCAACCATAACCCAACTCACTGGCCCCAGATCCTACCGCCTACAAACCACGGACGGGAAAGTATGGAAACGCCATATAGATCAGCTTCGATCCAGATTGCAACCCATTTCCCGCGACTCCCCTGATTCTCAAACTGGGGGCCGAAAATGAAATAGCGGATGACGTAATCAGGGAAAAACAGCCGCCAACCCAACTACTCGAGAGAAACGCGCCGACTGAAGAAGAATCAGGAAGGGGGTTTGCATCGCTGCGGAGAAATACCATGATGGAGGCAAGCCCACGGAACCCGGAAACAATCCCAAGAAACCCGGATGACAACAATGGCGAAAACGGGAATAACCGCGCCGAGTCTTTCCTCGGAGAAACGGAACCGTTCGTGCCTGACAACTCAGAAAACGTTCCACCGGAACCGGACTGCAGACAGAAACCGGTGGAACAGCGCAAATCAAACATGCAGGTGAAACGACCTGCGTATCTACATGAATACGTCACCACACCCCTCAAACGAAACCTAGGGGGGAGGGGTGTTATGAACTAAGTAAATGCATTTAATAAAGCTTGACAACCTTACTAGAAAAGCAGGCTCGTAATCCTGCATTTCTGATTGGCCCATAAATAGCGAATCATGATTGGTCTCTTCTGGGCAATCAGATTGGCTAATAGTGGGTCGTCTCCCATTGGGCACAGTTTAAACGCTCCAACGCAATTCATTGGTTAATGCGACAGCAGCCATCTCTATAAAAGAGCTGCTGCTGCCCAAGGTTTTTGCTCTGTTCCTGATCGTTAATAAAGAGTTGAAGTTCACCGTTCACTGCCTCGTCTCCGTTCCTTGCGCCCATGCCCAGAACATAACAGTCAGACCCTCCCTAGTATAATTCACAGAATGTATTTTGGTTATTGCAGATAGTTGCTTTCATCTAGAATTTGTTTGTAGGCAAGCAACAATAAAGAAACTACTTAAAGTAACTCCGTGTTCTTGGTTATTTGGACTTGACACCTGGGGAAAATAAAGGCTATAAAGAAATAAATAGCTCTTTGAAATTCCAGCACATACAAGTTCCCTATCCATAACTTACCCATAACCGAAGTCCTTTGAGTGGTCTCTATGCCTGTTTGCATTGTTATTACTACTATATAGAATATAGTAGTAATTATTACTACTATATAGAATTACTACTATATAGCATAAAGGTAGTGCTCAATTTATGACCAGATTTGGAATTGGAAATTCTGTCATAATTTGGTGCAATCATAGAGTCATCATGTGATCAGGCCTGAATTTATCACAATTATTAAGCGAATCAAAACCACTATAGTAATTAATGAATCACTTGGTTGTTAAGTGAATCACAGTAGGAGAAGAGCAAGCAGAGCTGGGGGATGGAGTTAAATGAATCATCATCCAAGAGTCATTACGTTCCCACAAATGTCTAAGTCCAAGCCCTCTTGAATTTTTTGATTGTTATCTGGTGCCAATTTAGTGTTGAATTTTGTTGGCGAGATTCTTGCATATAGCCTTGAGCAATAAGGGCTGAATTGCAATTTAATGCATGATTCTGATTCTTTGTGTCATATAGTCAGTAAGTAAATCCAGCTTCTGCAATTGACTTTGCTTGTTGGAAGCAGGCTGGGAAGGTTGCAAATTGTGATCACATGACAGCAAGACTTGTAACTATCATAAGTGCTAGATCAAGGGGGTCAAACTAATGGCCTGTGGGCTGGATGCGTCACGTGCTGGCCACACACACATCAGTCCATGAATGGGAAAACCATCACGAAACGTCACATGATGGCAACATGCCACAAGTTTGACACCTGTGTGCTAGATGATTGCCAAGTGCCTGAATTGTGATCACATGACCACAGGGGTAGTGCAATGGTCATAACTTCTAGGACAAGTTGTAGGTCACTTGTTCCAAGACCGTTGTATTTTTGAACTATCATTAAATGAATGGTCATAGTCAAGTACTGCCTATTGCAGGTAAACTCTGCCCACAACCTAGAGTTTGAACCTCAAGCCTTCCGTCCTAAGGTTGGTAAAATGAGGACTCAGATTGTTGGAGGCAATATGCTGACTTTGTAAACCACCTAGAAAGTTTGTAAAGCACTATGAGGTAGTATATAAGACTTAGTGCTATTGCTATTAGTCTACATATTTCATTTGCTTTTCTTTCTACAATATTGAGCAATTTTACGTATTTTGTACTTACAAATTTGGGAAAGATTATTGTGCTAAATGTTTTTTTTGCCCAAAGGTATTTTCACTCTATCTTCTTGCATTTTAAGCACTTATCAGTTTTCCCTTGTTGTCATTTAACACAGCCTGAAGAAATAATTAAAACAATATATAATTCTGATTTGTAATCAGTAACATATGTATTAATTGGTTTCAATCTTGCTTCTAAGCAGCATTTTAAATAGTCATGTGTTTTTAAATAAATTTTTATTTTTAATGGAAAATTAATACCTATCCTAATTAAGATGTATTTCAAATTTTAAATTAGCTTTTCTTAGGACAAAATGCTAACATATCTACATTATTGGAAAATTTAGTATAACTTGTCAAAATATCTAGCATTTTTTTCAGTATATCATTACTTAGTAACTATATTATGTGAGGCCTTTTTGACATTTCACAAAGATGAATTCTGCTTTTAGGAATTCGCTTAATCTATTTGATTTATCCAACAGCTTTGGGAATTTTGGTATTATCTAATCTGTTTATAATTTACTCTTTCATTGTATTTCTTTTATAATATTATAAAATTGTAATATTTTATAATATTACAATTACGAAGTGTAATCCAATTTTTATTCTGTCAGTAGAAGAATAAAATTGCTGTATTTTCAGCAATTTATCCTCAGCAATTTCAGCAGTTTATTATACTTTATTTATCTGCTTTGCTTTGGATAAGATTTTGCATCTGAGATTGCAATGGGGCTACACGGGAAGGTGGAAAACTACTGTATTTTTTCCCTTCTTTTGCATATGAAATTAGTTTGCAACTTGAGGGACATTTATCATATTCCACACAATATCTTATTTTAAATGGTCTTTGGAGGGCTTTTTATGACTAAAATACAGCCGAGATTTGAAGAAAATATTCCTCTAAAAGGCAATATCAGAAAAATGAAACAAATGCAGGCGTTTTTTTCTATTTGAATAACATTTAAATAAAATCTTGCATAATCTCTAACGTGAAACATAGCAACTGCTTTAGAATTGACATAACATTTCATGTATTTTCCAATTTGATGCAGAATAGTGCTATTAAATGTTTTACTTTTAATCATAGTTCTTTGGTCCAATTAACTATATAGTATATATGCACACATTTTTCACTAATTAATCACAGGTAATTATGTACTGTTGTGAATAATGTAAGTCATGCATTATCAGAATATCTTTGTTATCAAAAGTGAATATGTCAGACTTCTATGCAGAAGTCATACATCACTTATGGAAATTTCAGAACTGACAAAATGAATGCAAACATACATAAGTAAGAAAGTTACAGAACCTTTGCTCTGTATACCTGTACTGGTAAATTTCATTCACATAATCTCAATTATAATAGATTTACAATACATTTTTAATAATTTTCTCTATTTTCTTAGGCTCTTCAAAAACAACTAGATGACGTCAAAGAGGAGGAAATGTCATTGTTAAGCAAACACAAAGAGGTTGAAATTGAGTTAGCAGCTACAAGAGAGCGCTTACAACAGCAAGCCACAGATCTAGTGCTAAAAGCTAGTATGTGTGTATGTTTCTATTACTTTGTATATAATCCATTTTAAGTTATTATTGTAAGAATGTTTGTTCCTAGGTAATATTTGATGCATAAGACAAATGTTAACTTTTTCATATAAAAGCATTTTTTATTTTTATTAAAAATGATTTTTCTCAATCTGTTTCCATTATTTAGTCAAAATATCATATCCAGCACAATCTGTAGGGTTTGTTATTCATGAGGCTTACAACTAGCATATATGCAGATAATTGCAGTCTAATGACTTAAGCCTTACTTAGCCAATGTCCTCCCTACACAAATGTTGGTAATATTGATCTATAATTCCAATATAACTGGAAAAACACTAATTTGGGGAAGCATGGTCTGACAGTTAAATCTCATGAATTGTAAGCACATGTTTTTCATGTTTTTCTAGAAACATGTTATAGTTTAAATTTTACAAGATACTTATAAAATGTATTTTTAAGAACTCAAATTCAGAATATAGTTAATTCGTATATAATATGTAAAAATGAATATATAAAGAGTCCATTTGAACAAAATATCTCAGTTAAAATAATTATGACTCAGTATCTATCATCTGACTATTACAATGGCCTAGTTCTGTTTTTAAAACTGTTTGGATTTCAGATGCCTGTTATTTTGCATGTGAAATGATACACCATGTTTCATTCCAATTATTATCCCACATCTGACTTTTTATGTGAAAAACTATAAGGTTCATTGTCAATTTTGCTGTAGTCACACGCTGTAGTCACACGCTGTAGCGTTTTGTTCTTTATTACCTCTGTGCATCATTCAGCTATGGTAATATTGTTGGTGTTGGATACTGCTCTCAACTGTTCCAGCTAACAAAGCTAGATCTGGCAGATTGCGGGTATTATTAACATGCAAAGGACCACTGGTTTTCTATCTTTGTCCTAAGTGATTGAGTAAAGGATCCTTTATTTTTAAAATATGTTAAATTGGAAGTTTCTCTATTTTATTTGTTTTGACAGTTGAAGATATTAGAAATAGACACTGTATTCCACCCCAATTGAAGAGAAACAAGGGGAATTCAGATGATGCATAATGTCTGCAAAATGTCCATAGATCTGTCTTTCAGTATCTCACCACTGTTTCCTAGGAACTACTACTTAAAATAGCTGTCTTATTACACTTACCGTATATACTCGAGTATAAGTCGATCCGAATATAAGCCGAGGCACCTAATTTTACACAAAAAAACTGGGAAAACTTATTGACTCGAGTATAAGCCGAGGGTGGGAAATGCAGCAGCTACTGGTAAATTTCAAAAATAAAAATAATTAATTTGGGAAACGATCTCACTATCATGAAAGGTTTAATTGATTCACTAACCCAAAAGAAGAAGATGATGATGACAGCGGGAGGCAGGAGTCACTATCTTCCCCTCCCTCGGAGGCCCCCTGAGTCAGGAGTTGCTACCGCCGGCGCGGCCCCAGTCCTGCGTCGCCTTGGGAAGGGAAAGGCAAAAAGGAAGAGCCGTGGCAGCGCTTTGCAACAGCGGCAGCGGCACTGGAGGCTCAGGCTCAGCGGCTCCTGGTTTTGCCCACCCTTCCCAAGGCAACGCGGGACCGGAGCCGCACTGGCGGCAGCAACTCCCGACAGCCCCAGCCGGACACCTGAGTGGAGATGTAGGGAGAAGGCAAAAGCGACGGAAGATCCTTCAGGGGAAAC